ACAATATCTTTTGTGAACTTCTATTAATAGTTAGATAACAGAACAGTATTTAGGTAGCACTATTTCTACTGTAGTAGCTCCAGCATTAAGCTAAAGTTTATTCTTTACCATCTACTCTCAAGCTCAAGCTTCTTGCATCTTGAACCACTACCGCTATTAACTTTGTGAACTCAGTCAGTCTAACCTGAAGTGTGAGGTTCTAAACTGTTTATCACATGTTGATAGTCACATGGAATTTGGGCTTAACATAATTTGTATGCCAAGTTATTAATTTTTGCCATGACTTTGAATGGTCCTGTTTGTTTATCTGCCAGTTTCTGTTTTGGACATGAAAGATGAAGATTTGTGGTATCCAGCCAGACTTTGTTGTTGACTGAATATTCATGTGCCAGTCTGTGGTATTTGTTGTAGTGTTTCTTCATTGTTGAAGCAGTGTTTTCAAGGGCTGTCTTTGTTTCTTCATGAATCTTTACTATCATTGTGGCAAAATCTATAGATGCTGGCATCATCATGTGTTTTTGTTCACTTTGGGTGACCTGTGGATGTCTCCTATAGTTTATGAAGAATGGTGTTTTGCCAGTTGCTGAGTGAATCCTATTATTGTGTTGGAAAGCAGCTAATGCTAGCCATTCTGTTCAATTATCCTGTCAGTAGTTGATGAAAAGTTGGAGGTACTTTTCAACTTCTTGATTCACCTGCTCTATCTGACCATCTGTCTGGAGGTGATATGCCATTAAGGCATTTTGTTTGATATTGAGGAGTCGATACAAGTTGTTCAAGAATTTGGAGACAAATTATGGTCCTCTGTCTGAAATCACTATTTAAGGCATGCCATACTTTGCATAGACTTCATCTCATAGGATTTTTGCCCAGTCTTCTGATGTCAATTCTGTCGAACAGGTGATTGAGAGGATCGCCTTCAAGAAGCAATTGACTATGATGATGATTGCATTATAACCATTACTTTAAGAAAGTCCAGTTATCATATTCACTGAGATATAGGTCCATAGTGATAAAGAGATCTCATTTGGGTGGAGAGAGGCTGCTCAGGGTTGCATTGAAGACTTGCCATATTGACAAACCTTGCATACCTTGATATATCAGATGATATCATAGTCTATTTTGGGCCACCAATATTCTCTCAAGACTAGTTCTTTCATTTTAGTGATCCTGAGATGTCTGGTGATTGCATAATCATGGTATGTGGTGATAATATCACTATGAAGCCTCTGATCTCTTAGGATATAGATCCATTCATCATAATAGATCAATCTCCCTTCTTTCTTCAGACCTCTCTTATGGTTGAGTGAGAGCATAATTCTTTGATCTCATTTGTGGAGATTCTGAGTAGTGCTCTTGATGCACTCATGCACTTCCTCTTTGGTGGGTATAATCATTGCCCAGAAGTGTTTTGGTCATAGAAGCATGACCTCTTTATTGTTGTCTTCTCCCTGGTCATGGTCAGTCCTCCAGCTGAGAAAGTCAGCCTTTCTGTTTGCTGCTCCAGCCTTATGATGCAGCATATATTTGTACTGTGATAATTCCATTATCCACTGGGCTTGTCAGTGATTAAGTTTTTGTGGAAGTTGAAAATATCAGAGGTTCTAATGATCTGTTCAGATCTCAAAGGTCTGGACTGCTCCAATGAGATAATGCCACCACTTGGCAAGAGCAAGCATTATGGCAAGAAGTTTCTTGTTATAGATCTTGTAGTTGCACTCTATAACAGTGAGCACCTTTCAAAGAAATATGACTGGTCGCTATTTCCCATCCTATTCCTGAGAGAGGACAGCCCCAATAGCACTCTCACTTGAGTCTGCTTTCACTTGGAATTTTCCATCCTGAGTTGGAATTGCCAGGATAACATCCTCAGCCAATCAGCATTTAAGGTCATTAAATGCTGATTGCTGAGATAATCTCCAAGTCCATGGTGCATTTCCAGTTAATTGCATTATGAGTCAGACAATCTTGCTGTAATCCCAAATGAACCGGTGATAGAAGTTGATGAAACCAAGAAATGATTGTAATTCCTTCTTCTTGGTTGGTTCTGGCCATTCAGTTACTCTCACCACTTTAACAGGATCCATCCTGATGCTTCCTTTGCTAATAATGACTCTAAAGTATTCAGTTTCTAATACCTCAAATTCACACTTCTCAGCCTTGAGGAAAAGTCAATGCTTCCTCATCAAGGCTAATACTTATCATACTAGCTATTAGTGTTCCTCCTTGGTTTTGGACATAATTAATATGTCATTCAAGTAGATTGTAACCTTCTCAGTGGCAATGAGATCTTTGAAGATATCATTCATCATCCACTGGAATGTTGCAGGCAAATTCATGAGTCCAAAAAACATAACTGTCAGTTCAAACAAACTGTGGTTAGTTCAAAAAGTGGCCTTCCATTCATTGCCTTCTTTGATGTGGACATTGTTGTATCTCCATTGGACATCCAACTTGGTGTAGTATCTGGCACCCCAGAGTTTGTCCATCAATTCTGAGATCAAAGGAAGCAGATAATAATTCTTGATCATTATTTCATTGAGCTTCTGATAATCTTGTACCAGTCAAAGTTTCCCATCCTTCTTTTTGACAAAGAAGAAGAGAGAAGCCATTAGAGATTTTGATGGCTGGATCCTCCCACTGAATAAGTTTTCATCAAGGAACTTATCCAACTCTTGTTGTTTATTGTTGCCAAGTGAATAAACCTTGCAATCCAGGTTGAGGTTCATATTAGGAATGAGTTTTATGGCATAGTCCCAGAGTTTTGATTCAGGTAATTCATTGAAACTTTCTTTGTTAAACAAGTCTCAAAAGTCCCATGCCTATTCAGATATCATTTCTTCAAATGTCTTCTCCTCTTTTTTGATATTGGCCTTTGCTGCTAGATTGTTCACATAGTGTATTGCATGTATGTGAATGGCCTTCTGTAGATTGACAGCAAGAATTGTCTTGCCATCTTCCATCTCTTTGTCCCACCAATCATCAGAATCCTCATCAGGTAATTTGAATGAGATTTTTTGACATCAGCATCTGGCAAAAATAATGCATCTGGTCTTCCAGTTGATTAGCAGATTGTGTCAAATCAGCCAATCATGCCCAAGAAATATTTCTTTGGTTCCTAGGTCCATTACTGCTAAGTCAATTCATTTGAAATGATCACTGATAGTGAGTCTGAGCTCAACATATTTAGTGATCAGTCCAGCTTGATTCTTAGTTCCATTTATATTATAGACTGGGATAGGTGCTGCTGTGACCCAAGTGGGAAGGTTGTGCTTGATAATGAAAGCATGATTGATTGAGCTTCCCATGCAGTCACTGTTGATCAGGGCTGTGACTGCATGGGTAAATCGAGATGTTAATATCTCAATCTGAACTTTGGCTATCAAGTCTTGTTCTCTGGCTTTGGATCAGCAAATGAATTTTTGTGGTCTATATAGTTCATCAAGCCACTCCAAGGCTTGATTTCATTCTGCTGCTCACATCCCAGCAATCATATCATCAATCACTTCCTCAGCTCAGGTCTTGTGTACCCAATTCTTGAGTACAGCCTTTGCCACTACTTTGTCTTTCATATTTTTGATGGCTTGCCAAGTCCATTCAGTATTGAATGGCTTTAGCCAGCCAATGGAGCTCTCTGCCTCTGTTTGGCCTGTAGGCAGTTGAGTCTGTTCTATGATGTCAGTCTTTTCAGCACATGATAAAGACATATCAATAGGGCTCTCTATCCTTCTTCAGTGCATGCATGTTTGAGTGAGTTCCTTAGGTGATTCTGGAGTCTGAGTGGTGATGTTGGGTATATTCAAATGCATGCATAATTTAGACATAGATAGTAATGCTACAGAAATAAAGTCAGTCCATTCAATGGCTGGAGATGACAGTCCACTCTTTGAAAATTTAGCTGAGTCAGCAGAATCGCTTACTGCTCAGCTCCACCTTTTATCTCCTCAGGTTTGTTGTTGGACTCAAGATCTTTGTCTTCCTTTATCAACTTAGTGATCTGCACCCATATATCTTCACAGATGTGCTTGTTCTTCTTCTGGGGACAGTTTTGTGCCATATGGCCCTTTTGGCCACAATTGAAACACTTTCCCTCCTTCTTGAGGTGATCCACATCTATTGGCTGACCCATTTTAGTATATGTCATGCCCATACTGGTTCTTTTCTCACTAAATGAGGAAGTTAGAATCAAGCCACTAGGCTTGGCAGGCATGGTCACATTGGAGGTGGAGGACTTTATGCCCTGTCTCTGGTGTTTCTGTCCATTCTACAATAGGGTGAACAATTCTGTCTTCTGTCATTGCTACTCCCAGTACATTGTAATGATGCAGGCCTTCCATTCATCATATCTGACTAGAACACCATAGTCTATATCAGAGATGATCTTGAGATAGAAGGCCAGGGCCTTCATCTTCATGTATTCAACTATCCTGCCAGTGTCAGCTACATTGTCCTGGACTCCTGCCAACTTGCTGAATCATTTCAATTCATCAAAGTAGTCAGTAGCCAGCTTATCTCCTATCTTGAAGTTCTTCATCTTTTGTTTGTGGACTTCTTGGACCACAGAGTCTGTGAATTTGTCATTGATCATTTGTTTGAAGACTGGCCATAAGAGATATCGATGATGCAATCATGTGGTAGACCAGAATATGAGGGAGATAAGAACCCACCACATCTTTGCTTTGTCTGCCATATGGATTGCTGCAAATGTCACCTTACATATGTTGGCAAGAAAGTATGAGGTGAATACTTGGAAATATTGATCACAATCAACTAGAAAGTGATCAATATTGTTGGATGCCCCATGAAAGAGATGTGGTTTGGATATGAGGGTAGATTTGACATTAATAATTTAAGCTCCTGCATTAAGAGTGAGTATTGAGTTCAGGAGCCTGCTAAGAGGTGGCCCTTTCCACCCCTTCAGGGGTCCCAGGAATGAATGGAGAAATCCATCATTGGTGACAGGACTTTCTGGTGGTAGTGCTTCTTTTTGCATGATTCACCTATTCTTGATGGTCCAGCCCTAGACAATCACCACAGAGTCATCTTCTGTGGGAAGAGGCTCTTCAGACATCTTCCCTCCTCTACTGCCTTCAGCCTCATCTGGCAGCAGTTGGCTGGCAAATAGTCATCAGACCAGATACTTCCATGGATTCAGGTATTTTGGCTTTTTCTGAGAAAGCTATGATGCCATATCATAACTTGTTCCTCTATGTGATGTCATCCCTGTTGAGGGTGGCCAGTATTCATCATCCTCTGATAACACCAAGAGTGTCCTCAGCATCAATGGTTCTTCCTCATTGAGAACCAGCCAGAGTCCTCACTAGCTTTTCAGATACTGGCCTTCCTCCCTCTGCCAGCTCTCCCTCTCCAGCTCTTCTTCATTCATAAATCCAGACCAGTGATCATTTGTGAAGAGGGTGCTTCCTTCTTCTATTTCTCCATCTTCCCTGAGAATGGTATTAGCCTTGAGGATCATCAGAGTCCTTCCAATATGGAACCCCCCAGAAGGGTAAATTCCAGATTCTCTCAGTCTCAGCATTATGCCACCACTTCCTTTCTCTTTCCACCCATTCAGCATATTATCAGAATTCATCATAGAAGTCCAGATTGAGGAAAAGAGTGGTGAGTTTCTTATGCAAGAACTCTCAAAGGGTTCAATTGCTGATCTGAGGTACTGGCAGTATTCAGACTCCATACCAGTCAGATAAGGAGTCATTGTCAGACAGAAAGCCATTGCTTCCTATATTGTCAGTGGTTGATAATTTCCACTAATCATTCTCCCTGTCTTCAGAGATGTCATCTCATTGATCGACTGCATAGGAGTCATCCTTGGGATCTTTTTTTCATTCTGTGTCTGATGGCTATTTTTATCCTTAGACTGGTAAGGGTCTGCCCCTAGGCAGAAACCCTTTAGCATCTGCATCTTCTTTGTTGATGGATAATCAACTATCAGCACTTTGATTCTGATTGTCCCCTGATTTATTCCAGTGATCTGGGAAATAGAGGTCATCTTTGGGATTTTCATCTCACTTGGTATCTGAGAACCATGCTTGGTGTTTCCAGACCCTTTTATAGTCTGTTGGGGGTAATCCCCATTCTGTAACTCATTCTCCTCTAGCCTGCTACTTGTTGTGCTTATAGTTGATCTCTCACTGCTGGTCAGACTCATCCTTCTCTTCTTCCACCAGTTCATCAGTGGTATCAGAGTCAGTGGTTGGAGGTTCAAGGTCAGAGGTTGGAAGGTATAGAGAGGAGAAGCAGGGTTCTTCCTCTTTTTGGATAGGACCTGTTTGGCCCATGTCTTCAGATCTCTCTCTGGATCTGGACTCAACAGTTCAGATATTGGCAGAGAGGCCATTGAGGAGTTGATTGAGAGTGACATCTTGGATTTGATAGTCTCTGACTATCTTGGTTGTTAAGGTTCCTAGAAGAAGGGTCAGCAATTCAATAGAGAAAGGGGGTACTTCAGAGTTGATAGAGCTGGTAGAAGGCATTCAGTTTCTTGTGCTTTGATAGCTGTCAAGAAAGAGAAGCTAGAAGCTTTAAGCTAATTGTTAAGTCCAAATTCTACAAGACTAATAACACATGATAAACTGATAGAACCTTGCACTTTGGATTATACTATCAGAGTCCACTGATGCATTGTTGGCATTGTGTGATCAAGGCAGTTACAAGTTGCTCAAGATAAGATAATGGAGAATAAACTTTAGCTCAAAGCTGAGACTACTACAGTAAGAGCTATGCTACTTAAATATTAAATTCTTATCATTCTAAGAATATAACTACCTAATTGTCTTTACTGATGCTATATAGCATTTTATCCAGCATTGCTAAGATACCTACAAAAAGTATTATCCTGCTGTTGTGCTGTTACTGCTGCACAAAGATAAGAGAGACTTCTCTGTCATTGTGCTGCTGCACATCTTCACAGCAGTGACCAGAATTGGGACAGTGCTAATGACTAAGCATTCTCATGATTCTAAGTGCCTGGTCTAGATGCCCTGACTGAGGAGAAATAGGGGTCAATCCTGAATAAATCAAGGAAAAAGAAAAGAAAATAGGAAAAATTATAATACAACAGGTATAGAATCTATAAATAAAGCATTCAAAATAATATTTCTCCTGTTTAAAGCAGAATCACACTATTATTCTGGAATGGCAGCACTTCTGGACTCCTCTAGGCTTGCCCAGACCTGCCTGGCCACTGCATAGCTTTATTTTAAGCCTATAGTGCCTGTGAGTACCTAACTCCTTTCTGTCTACTCAAAGTTTTAATCCTCTGAGTTATTCTTAGTAGCTCAATCGATCAGACCCAGTCAACTGGTCCTATCTACTCTATTCCTCTCAATTCTAAGTCTCTTAGATCATCTGATACCTAGAAAATTTGGACTTAGGCATTTGAATCAAAACTCACAGTGCTAGCTACAGATTATTGGGTCTTTCTTCTTACTGCTCCTGGATGATGCTATCTCTACTCAATACTCTATAACTGACTATAGTATTATATCCTTAGCTGTCTTAAAATATACTTGTTTTAGTGGCACATAAAATTGGCCTTATTTGAGATACCACTTCTAAGTCTAACTTGGACTTAGTATTTTCCAAGATGTGGTGCCAAACTTTTCTAAGTTCAAACCTGACTTAGGATTTTTATTCTTAGGCCATATTATTTTTACAAAGTCCAATTTGGACTTAGTATTGGTGACTAGCATGACTATCAGCTCAGAGCCTTAGCCATAGTCCTCTACTGGCTAATGATCCTCAGTTGCTAGCATATTCTAGTGTGTTATGCAGAATTTGCAAATTATAGGGCTGGACATATAGCCTGCATATCATCACCTCCCAAAGATCCTCTACCTCCTGATCTCTCTCATCCTTGAAAATCAGTCAGACCTTCTTTCAGATCTCTATTCATCTGCCAACTCATCTATGTGACATATCAACTTGCATATCAATTTTGAAAGTTGGTAGAGACCAGCAGAGACCTCCATACTACTAATCACCTTGCTTGTGGTGACACCCTAGTTGAATGAACAGGCAGTCTTCTTAATTTTGCAATGTGCACAAGTCTGCCTATGCTTAATGCCTTCAGTGGCTGGGCATACATAACAATGGGCACTATCTTGGTGACAGCACACACAGCTTCTTAAGAATGAAAGCTAAGTCAAACTATATAAGAAAACCAAGACACTTACTTTCACCATCCAACAACTCTTTATCTTTCACTGGTCCTACCACTTCCAACTTTGTCTGCTTTTTGAAACTAGCAACCACCTCTGCCTCACTGCCATCTACTATGCTCCTTGACCTGAACTGGCATTTACAGCCCTTCTCTGCTGGATCCACTACCTTTCTCTTCCCCTCTTGTACTCTCTTTCTCCTCTCCAGGATTCTCTCAGATTCTTCCAACTCATCATCTCCCTTGGTCCCCTTATCTTGCTCACCATTGGACTCCAGAGGCATATGGCCAGTCACCTTCTTAAAGTGAAGACTGAGGCTAGGACTAAACTGTTCTGCCAGCACTTGATGCAGCTGAAAATCAATGGCCTTCGTGAGGGTCATCTGCAATCTATCCTCTGTAACCATCTCCTTCTCCTCTACCTCTGAGACTGAAGCTCTTGCTGCAGCCTCTGTGGCCTCTCTCTCCTCAGCCTCTCTCTGAGCTGCCTCTCTCAATGCCTCCTCCATCTCCTTAGCCCACCTCTCTGCAGCCTGCCAGACCTCCTCCCTCTTTCTCTCCAATTCCTCCTTCTGCTCCCTTTTCCACACCTCTCAGGCTACACAGTCCATCTGGATCTTTTTCTTCCACTCCCACTCTCCTTGCCATTCCAAATAGCTCTCCACAGCCTCCATGTATTCTTCCTCCATGGACTGTTATTTCAGATGAAATAATTCCTTGGTCTCTTCAGGGCCATCAGAGGTGGATTCCCTCACTAAAGGCTCAGGAGTATATGAGTGACAATATGCAGCAGGAGGTGACATAGTTAGAGCAATAGTGATAGTATCTGACCAAGTTGCAAAAAATTCCTATGGCCACCAACAATCTTTCATATGGACTCACCAGCCATCAGGATCTGTGCTCTTGAGGGCAAGAATGCTAATGAGAGAATACTGTTACATGTATGCTGCTAGCCTCTGTATCATCTCAACCAACCATGAATATAATCATGGAAACCCACTGGACTTCAGCTGCTCTCCATTACCTATTAATTTCATTTTTACCATTATCATTTCACATTCATATTTCACATTGTAATATCTAGACTCTGAACTTAGTAGTGAATATTGACATTGGAACCCAATAGAATCTGACTCAGAATTAGCTACTATTAGTATATAAAGTTATGTATAACTATTGTAACTACTCAGTTCAAATATCAACTTGGATAAGCCATCTACACTTCACACTCACTTCAACTCCTCCTTACCTTGTCCATTGGATTCTACTCTGAAGGATACTTCTGTTTGTTTCTTTGACAGAAGTCTATTCTGTCCATCCAGATTCTTAGACTCTAACTCAAGGGTGACATTGCCAATAGCTTCATTGATGCCTACACACTCTGCTGGTCTCTGCACATGCATTAAAGCTCACTCAATTGGCATGTTCCTAACAGACTCTCATATCTCATAACTTCTATATAGTCACTGCTCTAATCAACAGTGACTGCACAGGCAGCTCAATTAATTATGCTTTCATCCCCAAGCACCAATCCTGATGTATAATGCAGATAGCACCAAGAACCAAGCCAGTTCAATTACTGAATTCATTGAGCTCAGGCTCATGATCAATGATCATTCCAAAAGGATCAACTTGGCTATAACCAATTTAGGAACTAAGGAAAATTTTCTTGGACATGACTGGCTGATCTGTCACAACCTGCTTATTAGCTGGAAGACTGGTTGAATCACATTTACAAGGTGTCATTGCTGAAAGATCCTATTTGAATTGCCTGACAAAGATCCTGAAGATTAATAAGATGAAGAGATGGAGGATGAGAAAACAATCCTTGCCATAGACCTGCAGAAGGCCATATATATCCACACCATGCATCATACTAATGACCAGCAGCAAAGGCCAATAAGAGAAAGAAAGAGAAGATGTTCAAGGAGATAGTATCCAAATGGGCCTAGGACTACTGGAACCTATTCAAGAAGGAAAGCTTTGATAAGCTACCAGCTCTAAAGCCATAGGATCATGCCATTGAGCTGATCTCCAATGCCAGTGCCAACTTGAATTGCAAGATATATCCACTAGGCAATAATGAGCAACAGAAACTCAATAAATTCCTGGATGAAAACCTATCCACTAGATGAATCTGGCTATCAAAGTCCCTGATGGCTTCCTCCTTCTTTTTTGTCAAGAAGGATGGAAAACTCTGGCCAGTATAAGATTACCAGAAGCTGAATGAGATAATGATCAAGAACCATTATCCACTCTCATTGATCTCCAAGCTCATGGACAAGCTGCATGGTGCCTGATATTACACTAAATTAGATGTTCACTGGGGCTATAACAATGTATGAATCAAGGAGGGTGACAAGTGGAAAGCTGCCTTTTGCACCAATCAAGGATTATTTGAGCTGATCATCATGTTCTTTAGATTGACTAACTCACCAGCCACCTTCTAATGGATGATGAATGACATATTTAAGGATCTCATCACCACTGGAAAAGTCACAATCTATCTTGACAACATTCTTATCATATCCAAGACCAAAGAGGAACATTGAAGACTGATGCAGTAAGTATTAGCCTTGATAAGAAAACACCAACTGTTCCTCAAGGCTGAGAAGTGTGAATTTGAGATACTCAAAACTGAGTACCTCAGAGTTATTATCAGCAAAGAAAGCATTAGAATGGATCCCATCAAGGTAGCCAGAGTAACAGAATGGCTGGAACTAATGAAGAAGAAGGAGTTACAGTCATTTCTTGAATTTATCAACTTCTATTGGCAATTCATCTGAGACTATAGCAAGATAGTCTGACCCATGACTCAGTTAACAGGAAATGCCTCTTGGGTGTGAGGCCCATCTCAGCAATCTGCATTCAACAACCTCAAATGACAACTAGCAGAAGATGTAATACTTGCTATTCTCACACAGAAAGATAAGTTTCAAGTCAAAGTAGACTCTAGCAAAGGGGCAATTGGCACCATGCTATCTCAGGAACAAGACAGAAAGTGGTGATCCATAGCATTCCTTTCAAAAGTCCTGACTATTACAGAACAAAACTATGAAATATACAATAAAGAACTGTTGGCCATCATGCTTGCTCTTGAAGAATAGTGATATTACCTAATCAGTGCAATCAAAATCTTTGAGATTTGGACAGACCATCAGAATTTGCAATACTTCTAACAGCTGCAGAAGCTAAACCACTAGCAAGCTAGATAGGTAACCAAACTTAGCCAATATCAATATATGCTGCACTACAAAGCTAGTGCAGCAAACAAGAAAGCTGATCTTCTCAGCTGATGGGCTGGCCACAATCAGAGAGAAAGAGATAATGAAGGAGTAACATTATTAAAAGCTGAACACTTTTGGGTGATGATAATGCCAACCAAGGAGGAGATTCATGAACAGATCAAGAGCATCATATGTGACATGAAGAAGTGGGACCAGTGCATCATCTCTTCACTCAATCATGAGTGCAGAATGACCAGAGAAGAAGAAATGATCTGCTATAATAGGCAGATCTATATCTTCAGAAACCAAGCTCTTTATAGTGAAATTATCACTATATGCCATGACCATGCAACTGCTGGCTATTCCAGCATTGCCAAGACCAAGAAACTTATCCTCCAGGAATATTAGTGGCCCAAAATAGGCATTGATATCATATGATATGTCAAGGCTTGTGAGGTGTATCAATGAGACAAAGCAACAACACAGCTATGAGCAGCTCCACTCCATCCAAATGAGATTCCATCATCACCATGGACCCACATTTTGGTGGACATGATCACTGGACTATCAAACTGCAATGGCTATGACACTATCATTATTATAGTTGACTGATTCTCAAAGGCAATCATTCCAATTGCCTGTTCAACAGAATTAACATCAGAAGGACGAGCAAAGATCCTATGAGATGAAGTCTATGCAAAATACAGAATGCCTCAAGTGATTATTTCAGACAGGAGACTACAATTCATCTCCAAATTTCTTGACAACTTATACCGACTTCTCAATATCAAACAAAAAACACATTGACTGCTTATCACCCTCAAACTGACAGTCAAATAGAGAGAGTCAACTAAGAGGTGGAGAAATATCTCTACCTCTTCCTCAACTATCAACAGGATGATTGAGTGGAATAGCTAGTGCTCACTACATTCTAGCATAACAATCAAATCCACTCAGCTATGGGAAAGTCTCTCTTTTTCATCAATTATAGATGACACTCTAATGTCACCTAAACTGAATGACTTTGTATAACAATGCTGGCTTTAGCTGATTTTGCATCTACAATGATCAAAATCCATGCTGAGACCCAAACAGCTCTTGAGAAAGCAGCAGAAACTATGAAGAAGCAATACAATAAACACCATAGACCAGCACATGAGTATTCAGTCAATGATAAAGTATGGCTGAATATGACAAACCTTCATCTCTCATGCCCAAAAAGAAAATTGGCCAACAAACAGACAGGACCCTTCTCAGTCTTGGCTAAGATTGGCCAGTCCACCTATAAATTATGCCTACTAAGCAGCTGGAAAATGCACAATATCTTTAATAAGGCATTGCTAACATCCTACATTGCACTGGCATTCCCAAATCAAGAACATCCATCTCCTCTGCCACCAGAGCTGATTGACAATAAAGAACATTATGAAGTCAATCAGATCTTATATCACAAACTATGGAAAATCAAAGTAAAGAGCAGAGAAATGACTACAACAGTTGACTATCTAGTCAGCTAGAAGGGGTACAGACCTGAATCCAACCAATGGGTCAATGAACAGCATATGAATGCCAATGATATGATATATGATTATAAACAGGCATTGAACTGATATTTTATCAGTCAATGTCTTCATGAATCTTATGAGAAGAAGGGCAGGTTATCTGCTCCTGAGATGCCTAGACTTATTCCTAATTTAACCATTGAGATGATGGTCTTAAGGAGAGGGTAATGTTATAATTTTTTCTCACTTCTATCTTTTATTCAAGGATTGACCTCTATTTTTGCTTAGCCAGGGTGCTTAGACCAGTGCTTAAGACTGTAAGATGGGCTTAGTCAGCACAACAATGCCCAGTCAGTTATTGTCCTTCGATGTGATAGTAACCACTCAATAACAGATAATACCCTTTTGTAGATAGCTTAATGACACTAGACAAAATGCTCTATAATGCCAGGACACACAATTAGGTAGTTATATCTTTAGATGGATGATGACTAGTATATAAGTAGCATAGCTCTCACTGTAGTAATCCCAGCTTCAAACTAAAGTTTATTTCTTTACTATCTTATCTCAAGCTAATCTAAAGGCTTTAAGACACAGAGCCATATAGCACATCAAGTGAACTCTGACATCATTGTCTGAAGTGCAAGACAGTGTCAGTTTATCATATATTTAGGTCACATGTCATTTGAGCTTAATAGTATCCAAATGAAGTCCTCACAATCCCTTGGACTCATATCTTTGTTGATATGATTACCAGTCTATCCGATTGCAATGGCTATAATGCAATCATCATCATAGTTGATTATTTTTCTAAGACTATCATCCTAATGGCTTGTTCCATCAAACTGTCATCAGAAGGATGGGCCAAGATTTTCAAGGATGAAGTCTACTCTAAACATGGAATGCCACAAGTAGTCATCTCAGACTAAGAATCACAATTCATATCAAAATTCCTAAATG